CACCAGGCATATGAGTGAAAGAACTTCAGCTCATTCCAGACCCCGACCTTCGAGCCATCCCAGCTGGCATGGAGTGGGGCAGAAATGAGTAGTGCCCATGAAGCCCTGTCCCTGTGGCAGATTCACAAGCAAAATGAATGAGTTGGTTATTTTAAACCTTAAGTTTTGGGGTAATTTATTATGCAGTCCTAGGAACTAGTACACCAAATAAAGATGACATTTCTCATAGAAGCACTTTCTCAATTCTGTCAAAGGCTGTTGTAGGTAAATGGAGATGATGACTGAGAACCAACCGACTGCTGAATCAACAATGTAGAAGGCACTGGAAATGGTAAGGCAGAACTGAAAGAACATGGGATTAAGAAAGAATGGGAATTGAATTGGAAACAGCCAGTAATGACTACTCTTTCCAGGAGTTTTGCTAAAAAACAGATTTGAGAAATGAAGCAGTAGCTGGAGAGGAGAGTGGGCCCAGGAGAAAGGCTTTGGTTGAGGTTGAAGACAGACAGTATGTATATCGATGGTAATGATGCAGCAAAGGGTGGGAAATGGATGATGCAAAAGAGAGAGGAGTGAATTGCTGGGGCCAATTCTGTGAGAGATAAGAGGATACAGGGTCCATAACTTTATAACACAGGTGGAGGGAATGGCCTTAGCTGGAGCTCAGCAAGTTTATTCATGGTTACAGAAGTAAAGGCAGAGTATATGAGCACAGAAGCAGGTGAGTGGTAAACATTGTGGTGGAAGGAAGTTTAAGTTCTAATTTGCTTGTTTCTGTTATTTCAGTGGAAAGTAAGTGATCTAGGACTTTACCAACCAGCATTAGGGTCCCACATGAAGTCCATAATCATGAACTTAAAGGGAGAGCTGTTAGTGTGGCAATGCTGTTGTCCAGCCACGTTCAGTGGCCCAGGTGCAAGCACAAAGTAGGCGGTGCTTTGGACTTCACCAGGGTCAGGGAATCGTCAAGAGAAAACTGATAAGAGAAAGGGGTAAGGGAGATGAGAGCTTAGGCAAAGGAGTGGCTGTGGAATTTAAGCTGGGCTAAGAGAAAACGGAAGATGTCGGGGGTTGAGGGACAGCAAAGATGCAGTGGGATGTATGGATTGTAGCTCCCCGCAGAGGTGAAGGATTGGTCGAGCTCATGTACTTTAAATAGCTCCAATCTGAGGATGAAGAACTCCAGCTCAGAGAGGGTAAGGTAGCTTTCAAGTAAAGTCACCAGGGATTCAAAGCTAGGCTGCCCAGCTCCTGTAACAGTGAGAACATCTCTTCACAGCTCAACATTTGATCAGAAAGAAAGAGAAAAAAGAACAATTGGTATTGATAGTCACCAAGAGCTCTGAAAACCAGATCTGGAGAAATATCCACGGGAGGTCCCTCATGTTGTGAGATCTTGGTTTTACCTCCTGAGTGACATTATCACATGCACTTTTCAGAAGACTCTTGGTTATTTTTCTTATAATCCAATTTTTAATTCTTTGAGTTCTCCCTAGAAGAGGAACATAGCAAAAGAGTCGGCCTATGGGTAGGAAAATGAAAACTAAAGTTTCCATGGATCTTGTGCACCTGGTGCATGTATACTTCCTTACTGACCCATTTCCTGCGGGCCATGGAAGATTTCATCAAAGGAAGTACATGTCACAATTACATCATGAACCCAATTGTTTAAAGTTTCTATTACAGCCAATTAATTATAATGAGTACCAGGAGGCTCTCTATTTCTGCCCTGATACCTTGGCCAATGGCATCACACAGCAATTATGGGAAGATGTCTGTAAGAGGAAGTTTTGTAAGAGAAATTTTATAAGGCTGTTTGTGTATTGTGCCCTCAATTGTATTTGCAATATCATTTCCTACTGTTGATTGTCCCGTAATTCTGGTCATGCAGCAACTCCAGCATTGGTAATGTGTTTATTTCCAGAGGAGGTGGTTTGGGTGGGGAAGGAGGGGAGAGCTAAGAGGTTGTTATTTGTGTGTTTAAAAAGGCAGGTTAGCCTGAATATAATTACCTTCTTTTTTTCTTCTTGCTAAAGAGAGAAGGAAAAAAACATGTGTAAGCTTGATTATTTAGGAGATGAGCATACTAAAATAATTTGATGAAATTGGGTCATTTGAAACCAAAATAAAGTTGTGAAGAAGGAGAAATTTTCTCTACCCAGTGTTCTCTACTCATTTCCATATTATTCCCACCCCACCCCACCATTCCACCCTGGTTGAGCTTTCTGGGATCTCTCATTACTTTGTAAATCCTGACCTCTGACGTACAAGAAAGAACAGAAGCTTGGACTTCAGAAAGATCTGAGTTTTTATATAAGTTCCATCTACTAATGTATATCCTTAAGCCAGATAAGGCTCTCTGAGCCTGTTTCCTCCCCCGCATTCTGTAAAGTGGGGATTATAATACCTACCTCATGGGGTGGTTTGTAAGACTTAAATAAGTAGGAACAGCACCTGGTTGCTTACAATTGACTCAGTGTCCTGTTGCCTTCTGTTCCTCAGCCTATCCCTTGATTCTTCCAACCGTCTCTTCCTAATCTTTGTATATACTGCCTGCAATGTCTCCTGCACTCTAGCTAATTTGATGTGACTTCCCTCTCTCCTTTTCATCCATTCATCCTCCTTTCTTTCTTTCCAGTCTCCAAAATCCCAATTGCCCAATAAAGCTTATCCATGTATTCTGAAGACATAACTTGCATATCAAGTTTACCTTGAAATTGTTTGTAAATTTCCATGACTCACTTTAATATATATGCACCATGACATCAATCATATATTCATTTATTCATTCAATTATTTGATTTGCACATTGGTCCAACATCTCTCTTCCTGCTTATGTTTCTCCAGGTTGATATTGTAGCTGAAATCTTATATTTTTGTAGTGCTTCATACTTTGTTTCTGACATGTTTTATCATAGACTATCTCAGTGGAGCCTTACAACATCATGTGAGGTAAGCAGGTCAGATATTGTTATCATTTTCTAGCTTTATAAATGTAAAAACAGACTCAGTAGAGTAGGTAGTTTACCCACCCATGATCACAACCCTGGTTTGTGGAAACCAGGCCATCTTGACCCAAAGCACACTCCTCACCTCCACGAGCCACCTCCCACCCTTATTCATTCCCTCTTATGCTGTATGTGATCCTAATTCTAACAGTGAAATTCCCTGGCTGCAGAGTCTCAGAAATATAAGTCTCTTTGTACTCTAGTCACTTTTTCCAGACCACACCACGGGGCCTATTTTAAATAGCTCTAATACTACATAAGCCCCATTTTTCTTTAATCTGAGATTTCCTTTAATGCTAAGGAACCAGAGATACTGATTTTGACTTTCCAGTAGTTTACAGCCATCAGGAGCAATACCGTGATCCTCAAGGCAAGGAGATCTCTTCAGCAAAGCATTAGGTTTGGGCTTAAAGAATGGCATATTCTTTGACCAAACAGGTTCAGTCATCCCTAATTCTGATTCGTTAAGTTCAAGAGCATGCTGACTTTTATTGTAACAGAACCTGCTGGTCTCTTATCTCATGCATGGTTGCAGTGCATTTAGATTCAGTTGATCATCACTCCTTATGTATCAATCCTTATCCTGCCCAGCTTCCATATTAAGTCTCCATAAGCCAACAATTCTAACACATGGCAACATAATAAACTTCTGACTATATTTTGATTCCAGAAAGACAACATTTGAAGGCAGTTAAATGCCCTCAGGAAAATCTGTGGTATTTCGATGACCTCATTTGTGTTGCATGTGGCTCCATTTCAAAGTTGAACCCCTTCTTGGGCACACGAGCACAGGAAACAAATACAACACTGAAAAACACGTTTGATGTTTGAAGGTTTTATTAATATATATGTTGTCGTTAGAAATAAATCAAGGTTCCTTTCCTTCCTGGACCAGATTTTGACTCATAGTTACTTGCTGTTATTCATTTTCACTCCTCTGAATCTTCTAAATAAAAATAACCTAGCCTGGACAGGTGAGGTAGCTCATGCCTATAATCCCAGTGCTTTGGGAGATGGAGGCGGGAGGATCCCTTGAGGCCATGAGTTTGAGACCAGCCTGAGCAACATAGTGCCCATCTCTACAAAATTTAAAAAAAATTTTTTTTTTGAGACAGAGTCTCACTCTGTCACCTGGGCTGGAGTGCAGTGGTGCAATCTCAGCTCACTGCAACCTTCGCCTCCCAGGTTCAAGTGATTCTCGTGCCTCAGCCTCCCAGGTAGCTGGGACTAGAAGAGGGTGCCACCATGCCCGGCTGTTTTTTTGTATTCTTGGTAGAGACAGGGTTTTACCTTGTTGGCCAGGCTGGTCTCAAACTCCTGGCCTCAAGTGATCCGCCCCCCTCAGCCTCCCAAAGTGCTGGGATCACAGGTGTGAGCCACCGCACCTGGCCAAAATTAATTTTTTTAAGTAAATAAAAAAGAAAAAGAAAATCTTAAAAAGATCTTGTTTTCTTTCAAATTTATCTTAGCACATTTTTAACACTTTGAGTGTGTGTTTGTGGGTTTTTGTTTATTTTCCAAGGAAGTTTTAAATACTTAACATATTACACATAAGGCTGAATGACAATGGATGTTATCATTTGGTCACATGAGCTATATTTAAGACAGTCCCACATGCATGTGGGAATATTTGGAAATGAATGTTCGATTCAGCAATGTGTGTTGCACTTCTACTTTGCATTAAGTGATAGGAGAGAAAAACATATAAATGTGGGCCTATTATGAGATTTGCCCATAAAATAGGGAATTTTGGTAATTTAAAATAAAGTGCTAAATGGAATATAACCAAAACCAACAGACAGGTGAGCTCATCTGTGTTGCATCTAGCAGAAAAGAGAATTATCAGTATCAACCCAAATCCTTGAGAAATGAGTGCCCCATGACAGCATATCAGTTATCTTGCCTTCTGGATTCCTAACATATTAGGTCATAAAAGATGACAAAAGAAAGTCTTCACTAGAAGCCAAGACATTTATTGAAGGTCTGTTTCAATCATATATTGTACAAAAACAAACCACCCCAAAACTTAGCAGCTTAGAAACAACAATCATTTTATTTTCTTTCTAACTCTATAGGCTGACTTGGTTCACCTGAGTGGCTCTTTGCATGTGATGTCAGCTGGGACTCTAGTCGACTAGGTGGGGCCTTTGCTGAGCTGAATGTCCACAGTGGAGAACTTACATGGCTGGTGGTTGATGCTAGCTGTTAGCTGGGAGTTAAGCTGGGACCATAGACTGAGTGTCTCCACTCTCTTCCACCTGGCCTCTCCATGTGGGTTGGACTCCTTATGATATGGGACTGTGTTCCAAGAAGGAAATGTTGCTGAAATACCATGGATTTGGCCTATGTTCTGCTGCTCACCACACAGAAAGGCAATCACTGAGACAATGAGTACTGCCAGGAAAGAAGGCTTTAATCAGGTGTTGCAGCCAAGGAGATGGGAGATCAGTCCCACATCCATCTCCCCAACTGACTACAATAAGAGGTTTATAGAGCAAGGAAGAAATGTAACGATGTGTGGGAAAACAAGAACTAAGGAGGGTAGGGAAGAGGAGCTGGTCAACAGGAAGCAGGTGGTAAGTTAGGCAATCATGACAGGTGAGGGATCTGACATCTCATGGTCCAGAGGCAGTGATCTGGTGAGTTTCAGTTTCTTGATACTATCTGGTAGTCCTGGTGGTTGGTTTTCTGGAAAAGGAACTCAGATAAGACAAATGTAACTTTCTTAGGTTTTAAGACTGGGAGGGCTAATTTCTGTTTATTCAAGAGAAACCATAAACATCAGTTCTATGGAGCAAGTGGGTCAGTTTCAGAAGCAGAAGCTTCCAGGCCTTTTAAGGTTTGGGCTCAGAAGTTCCATATTGTCATTTTCTATCATATTCCATTGGACAAAACAGTCACATTGCTAGCCCAGATGCTAGGAGAGGATAAAAAATGCCACCTTTCTATGGCAGAGTAACAGACATAAAGGTGAAAGCAGGAACTTAGGATGGCTGTGTTTGGAGACTATCTACCCATAGAGCTTGAGTAAACACACAAAACATGCATGGCAGAGGCAAGACCTTTGCATCGGTCAGCCCGCCCAGGTCACTGGTCAGCCTGCCAAGTCATTCTCCTGGTTCTGTTACAGTCTTCTGCCTTTGTCTTCTTTCTATCTGGCCTTCCTTTGTATAAACTGAACTTCTAACTTCTGAACATCTTTCAAACCCAAGACGCCTGCATCTCTCCTAGAACTGAAAGCCTTTTGCCATGGTCTTGCTTCCCAGGCTTGACTCTTATCTCCTGCACTCTGAGCCCCACAGGACATCCTTGGTATACTGGACTCTCTCTCAGGCCTGTGTTTTGGACCCTGATGTTCAATTTCCTCTGTGGAGCTTCATGGACTCCTAGTCCCCGCCTGCCCACATGGAATCTGACCTGTTTCTCCCAACACCCTAGTTTTAACCTTGATAGAGCATGGATGGGAGTGGACAGATAGTCATAAAAGATCCCATAGATCTTAAGAAGTTAAACGTCTTTGATTGAGCAGAGGGCTGAGCAATGCCATACAACTAGGACTCAGAACAGGATGCTTGCAGAACAGAGAGGGTTGAGGGAAACTCAGCTTGGACGAGGGAAAAGGTGAGGATGGCTGGGAAAATTAGGGTTCAGGGCCAGGTGATAACAATCAAGCAGTTTAGACTTGATGTGATATGAAACTGTAAACCACTGTGCACTCTTGAGCTGAGGTGTGGCTTGGTGAAATGATGTTTAAGCAAGATTTGTGCAGGAGTGGAATGTAAGGTAAAGTGGAGAAATTGAAACAAAGGAGGCCAATGGTAACTGGGTGCACAGGTGATGAGTGCTAGGATTAAAGGGGACTACAGTGGAAAAGATGAATATGAGACCATTTGAAGGGAAAAAATCTACAGGGCAGTGATTTCTCCAAGATGGGAAATTCAGCTAAAGATGGCCAGTGGGAAGTTGCTATAGGCTCTGGGGAAGGGAGGGGCTGAAGACAATAGAGGGCAGAAAGCAATGGACAGGTTAAGACTGGAGGGGAGGAAAGGTCTGTTATACAGTACGGGTTTCCTCATCTAAGCTGGTGGATGCTGACATGAAGAAAGAATGACTCAGAGAAAAATTCAAAGGCAGAAGAGACAGGCTTTAATGAAAGTTTCAATTGAGAAGAAAAAGAGAAAGGCTAGAGTAGAAGTGACTCGTCTGAATTTTGACAAATGGTGGGGCCAACAACAGAAAGATTGATATGGTGAGGAAAGGCTGGCTTGGGAAAGAAGCTGAATATCACATAGACTGAGTCTAAGGTGACACAGAGCACTCTGGTAGGAACATCAGAAAGGGCCTAGAGGTGGGATGACAAGTTCGGCAAGGCAACATCAAAGTGTAAGTCCCTCGTTAAGAGTTGAAGTCCTGTGCCAGTGCAGATGTGGTGCCTGTCTCTGTCCCCAGACCACCTTGTGTTCGCTCTTTGCCACCTGAAGAGTAAAATGGCAGGATAGGAAGGAACGTCATATAGGAATGGTACAGGGAGCCCTGAGATCCACCTGTTGCCCTTATTCTTCTGAGTTCTCTAGTGAGCTTCCTAATGCACACCTGATCTCCACTCAGCATGAACAGTGCTGGTTGCTAGGTCTGAGGAAGCATGGTTACATTACCCAGGTATCTCCCCAATATGATTCACATCACTCAGCTTCAAATGAATTTGAAGCTGTGGATCCCAGACATCTGACCTAGGTGGAGAGATAGCTGAAATCCTCAACAATCCCTTACGCACACCTCTTATGGAAACCTGCTAGACCCTGAGCCCTGAAGTGGCCGTTCAGACTGGGTCATGCTCCTGCTCCTTTCCCATTCCCACAAGGTTGTCTCAGGAGGAATGAGGCCCTCCTTTCCTCCTCTTTCCTCTTTTTCTGACTTGGACATAGATACTGCTCCCAGTTTATTTTTTTTCCTGTGTAGTGGAATTTGGGGTCACCTCTCTCAGTTCCGCTTCTCTCAATTAGCAGCTAGCATCTAAAAAACCTCCATAAACCTCAAGCTTTTAATCAAGTAGAAAGTTCCCTGCTTTTCTCCTTAGCTGGTATCAGCATTTTTCTATCTGTTTTCTCTCCTCTCTCTCTTGACAGTTCTTGCTATGTTGCTCAGGCTGACAGTGGCACGATCACGGCTCACCGCATCCTCAAACTCCTGGTTTTAAGCAGTCCTCTGACCTCAGCCTCCCGAGTAACTGGGACTACAGGCACATACCACCGAAATGGTATGAGACTACTCACCAACCCCAGTGCCTACAACCTTTCATGTTACCAAACTTATAAATGTTCACCCATCTGTTTCTACTACACTTTCTAAAACGTTTCATATGACAAAGTTTTATTTTAACATGGACAGTGTCTGTCCCCTGCCTGGGGGTGGGATGGAACATATATCCCAAGGGTAATTCTATGGATTTGCATTCAAAGAGTCTTGAGTATTTTTTTTTTTTCCTATTAACTCTGTGTGTGGAAGAATTCACTTAGCAGGGAAAAAGTCAAAAGCTTAAGACTGGACCTTGGGGGATACCTGCCTTCAGTTCAGAGAGTAAAAATAAAAATGGGTGAAGGACAGAAAGAAGTGGTCAAAGCCTAAGAGAAAATCTAAGAAAAATTAAGAACCAAAGGAGCAATCAAAAAAACTGGCAAGAAGGAGTTTGGGGGGCAGGAAGCTCTGTGGGGGAGCAAGGAACAGCACATGATTCCTGAGCCCTTATGTGCTAGGTTCTGTGCTAATTGCTTTGCATGCAAATTCCATTTAACATTCATAGCTAACTTTATGAGTTATTAACATGCCCACAAATCTGAGGCATGTTCTGTACGGTTTCCCAGAGTCCTCCCAGGAGGAGTGGGGATGGAATTAAGTTCTAGGTGCTCACAGTAGCAATTTGCTTGATAATGTAAGCTCTAATGGCATCTCCTTTCCCTGTTCACTTCCTCATTCCCTACCACATTTTCCAGCATCACCTCCCAAATAAACTACTTGCACTCACATACTTGTGCCAGGGTCTCAGCTGCATCACTGTGGCTAGGGAGGGGAAACCCTGAGGTATAGTTTTCTCAGGCTCCTCATGGGTCCTCTGCCTCTCCAGCTCTGAGTCAAGAACTGCCTCAGGGCCTGCTAAGTGGGAAGGGGTGATACCTTAGCAGAGGCAGGAGTAGGTGCTCAGGCCAATGGGCTGCTGGAGGACTTGTCAGGGTTGGAGGGTCTGCAGTCAGGCAGAGCTAATGGGAGGCTGGTCAGTCACAGGAGGTTGGCTACCAATCCCTGTGGGCATGAAATGGACCATGAGTTCTCTAGCCACAGACTGTTGGCCAAAAGGCCAGCAAGGTAGCTAGCTAGGAATCAGAGGCATAAGGGCCATCGCCCCAGGAGGGAGCTGAAGGACACCATCCCTAAGGATCCTGTTTTAGTTCATTTGTGTTATTATAAAGGAATATCTGAGCCTGGGTAATTTATAAAGAAAAAGAGGTTTACTTGGCTCACAGTTCTACAGGCTGGAAAAGAAGCATGGTGCTGGCATCAGCGTCTGGTAAGGGCTTCAGAAGGCTTCCAATCGTGGAGGAAGGGGAAGAGTAGCCAGTGTGTGTGGAGATCATATGGGGAGAGAGGGAGCAAGAGAGGGGGTGGTGCCAGGTTCTTGTTAACAACCAGCTCTTATGGGAACTAAAAGAGCAAAACTTTACTCATTACCTCAAAGATGACACCAAGCTGCTCATGAGAGATCCACTCCTATGACCCAGACTTCTCCCATTAGGCCCCACATCCAACGCTGGGGATCAAATTTCAACATGAGATTTGGAGGGGTCAAATGTCCAAGCCATGGCAGACCCCATATCTTCTTCTCTGCCAATTAAGCCATTGATTTCCTCCCATCCAGCCAAAAGTCATCTTGCAAAACATTCTGGGAAAGATACAGAAGATGCAAAAATCTTAAAGACCAAGCATTGCCTCATAGGATTATTAAATGATTGGATGGCAGATTTAGAAGTTAATTGTTTCCTCTTGCTCACAGGTGGGAGGAGGCTCAGGATCAAGGTCAAACAATAAAAGGGGCCTTCTTTTCTCTGCACAGTTGAGCTATGTTGTGTGTGATTCCACTTGAACAGCCTATGAGGCTGAGCTTTGGGAATCTACGCTGAGAATCAGTCATCCTAGGATTCAAAAATCCTGGAGAAATAGTCTATGGCACCGCTGATGGGTAGAGACAGGAAACACACTTAATGTCTTCTGAACATGCTGGGATTTGACTTGGCCTCTGTTCAATCCTAGCACACTTTCAGGAGTGGCTCTTTTGTTTGTTTTAAAGTACCTCTCCACCCATGAATTCTGGCCCTCCAGTAACAGGATGTTATACAAATAGGCCAAGTTTTCCACAGGACTGTGGCTCTCCTTCCCTCCTTCCATGAGGGTATCAATATGCAGAAAAGGCCCTTGCTGTCTCCTCTGTTTTGTGTTCTGCTGGAGTGGCTCTTCCTGCAATCTGCTAAGACAGGAACTGGCTGCACTTAGCTCGAGTGGGCCCCCATCCAGCCCCTCTCAGCCGGGTCTGTGGTGGCCAGGGCCTCCCTGGCAAAGCTAACACACAACTACTATTGAGAAACAGCCGACAAGGGAAAGAGTGGCGTTTGAGCCTTGAAACTCAGGCTTCTGGCTACATAACAACACATCGGATGAGGAGGGTGAGCCAGGAGCCTGATAGAGAAAACAGGAGGCCGCTTTAAGGAATTTACACAGTACCTTTGCATTGGCAGGAGTTTAATTATTCATTCACAGCCAGCCGGATCTCAAAGGCTCAGCTGACAAAGCTTCAGCCCTTCTCTGCAACCATTAGAGGAAGCAGTCTGAGCCCTTTCGCTTGAGTAAACAGGCAGTGAGTACAGGCTACTATGTCCTGAACAATATCGGAGAACAGGGTTTCAGGCCATTTCCTTTACTGGCAGCGTGGTGACTTTTCATAAGGATAAGCTCAAAATGTAAGGGCCAAAGGGTCTGCAGTTAACATGGGGGGAGGAGACTGTAACCATAGCAGCAACAAGAACACTGATAGCAGGGATTATGCATTGAGCCCTTTCTATATGCCAAGCCACATTAGGCATTCTTCCTGCACCCAGAGCAAGCCTTTATCATTGTCCCCACTGTGCATTTCAGGAAACTTGGGCGAAGAGAATTTGCCCCAAATCCTAATCCTGTAACTGCTAAGAGATTGAGCCAGCAAGCCAAAATTAAAATGCACATCTACTCAGGAAACTGTTTTCTATCTATATTTTCTCTCTTTCTCTCTCTGAAACTTTCTTCAAAATCTTTGATGTTACAATTTTTAAAACTCAGACATATGGTTGACTTTTTCCCCCCCCCAAAAGCCTAAAATCAAGTCCCTTCATTCATGACTATTCATGATTTTAATTTAAAAATAAAAGAATACTACAGAATACTGACTCAGAAAACTGGGTGTTTGTCATCTGCCATGAACCTGGTTTCCTGCTTGACACAAGGTAAGCAGAGTGAGTGAGTGGCAATTTTTCACCTTTATTTAAATATTTTTTCTCAGTAGAAACTTTGTACAGTCCTACTTTCCCTCCTACCTTGGCAAACAAGCAGGTGACTTTCCTTTGAAATCTCTGAGATGCTGAATCTGTCTTTACGGAACTTCTCTCCTTACCTCTCAACACTGACTCTTGCTCCAGTTCCGGAAATACAGCTGAGAAACAAGGACAAGGCAGAAAAGACACTATCGGTCATCACGCCCCCACTCCCAACCAAGTCAACCAAGTCTTCAGAGAGGGTCCTTTGAGTGCATTTTCCCCTGCAACATCCAAGACAAGGTTAATGAATGCTGAATTGTCTCCTTTTTTTTTTTTTTTGAGACGTAGTCTCGCCCTGTCACCCAAGCTGGAGTGCCATGGTGCAATCTCAGCTCACTGCAACCTCCACCTCCCGGATTCAGGCGATTCTCCTGCCTCAGTCTCCGGAGTAGCTGGGATTACTGGTGTCCACCACCACGCCCAGCTAATTTTGTATTTTCAGTAGAGAAGGGGTTTCGCCATGTTGCCCAGGCTGGTCTCAAACTCCTGGTATCAAGTGATCCACCCACCTCGGCCTCCCAAAGTGCTGGGATTACAGACATGAGCCACTGTGCCCAGCCTCCTTTTAAAACTAGTGAATTTGAATGATACTTCAGACCCTACAAGTTGTACCAGTGATTTGGTTTCAATCCCATCATATCTTACATGGCAATAATACTGCAAATATATGCACATTCCATACCAAGTGCTGAAAAAATATGGTAGCAGGTGAGTGATGTGGATTTGTTTTCTGTTGCCCAGTATCCACTAAGGCTTTCTAAGGGGTGACCATTTCACACATCTTATTTCTATGTGCCCATTATTACCACAGTCATAAGATCATCTCCCAAAAGGTGGTTCTGGAAAACTAAGTTGATCTAGCAAGGGATTACTAAAATCCCTTTGTATTTTAGAGAGCAGAAGCCTCTACTTGGTGGTTTCTGCTGGATTTTCCACTGTCCCAGGGTAAGAATAAAGACAAAATGACCCTAAGGTATGCATTAGAAGATGAATTTTTAATTTTTAACATCTTGGTTGGGCTTTCCTTCATAAACCAAGTTCTGCATTGTGCCCTGTCACCTTTAAGTCTCCCCGGTCCGTGCCAAACTGTATTTGCACTAATTGTTTTGACACCGTGTCCGGAGTGCCGGGCTTGAGCTCCTACAGCGTTGCCTCTACTCCCACAGGCTTTTGAGATCCTGTGCTTTGGTCCCATTTATATTAGGACGCTCCAAGATCATCACCCTCCCTCACTTCCTTCTATATCCACCCTGCATTTGTCACCCACCAGTGAGGCTTCCAAGGACAATGGGAGATGCTTGGTAACAGCACCCACAACTCACATTTCCAAAGCACCTCTGAAGTTCTGGGTCACATACCAAGTGCTTCAGAGGAACATTGTTTTAATTCTCCCAGCAGCTCTGTGCTGCGTATGTCAGCCTCCACAGCAGGTCACAAGTGGCACTCGAAGAGGCCAGTGAAGGACATTCACAGACATGAGGGTAGGGCTAAGGGACTGATATGGGATGGTGAAGCTCCCAGGAAATAGCAACAGCCTGAAGGAGCAAGGGAAGAGATCGTCTAGTGAGAGCTGGAGTCAGAGAAGAGGAGTCATTTGCCAAGAACACGGCTGTAAAGGAACGCAGCTACATGCAGAGCCTGGGCCAGAAGGCGGTGTGCACGTATAGGGTTGGCGGGGAGAAAGGCATCCATGTCCCTGACCTCGCTCTTGTGCCACCTTCCAATCTCAATGGAGCAGCTCCTATTGGCCACACCCAGCTGGCAGGCAGGGGAGTCTGGGGGATTCTGACTGGAGAGGTCAGTCTCCTGGGCACAGAACGGGACAGAGAAAGGCAGAAAGTGGATTCAGGGAAAGCAAGTGGAGAAATAACAGCATAATATAGCTTCTCTTTTTTCCTCACCATGTAAAATGCCCATGTAAAAGATGGGGTGGATGAACTCAGAGGGTTTCAGTATCTGCCCAAGTTCATAAGTGGCAAAGCTGGAGATTCAGATCCAGGCTTTGTGACTCCGGAGTCTGTTGTCTAAGGCACTCTCAATGTGATCTTCCGGGTCCTGCCCCTTCCTCTACATCAGACCCAGGTGATTTGGACTTTGCATGTTGTCCAAATTTATTATTTTCCTGTGACAAGCAGTTTGGAGACCAGAGTCTCTTTCTCAGGCCAGCTTTCTGTCCTAAGAAAGTAATTTCAGTCTTGGCGCAGGGGCTCACGCCTGTAATTCCAGCACTTTGGGAGGCCGAGGCGGGCGGATCAGGAGGTCAGGAGATCGAGACCATCCTGGGTAACACAGTGAAACCCCGTCTCCACTAAAAATACAAAATATTAGCCGGGCGTGGTGGCAGGCACCTGTAGTCCCAGCTACTCTGGAGGCTGAGGCAGGAGAATGGCGTGAACCCGGGAGGCGGAGCTTGCAGTGAGCCGAGATCAGGCGACTGCACTCCAGCCTGGGCAACAGAGTGAGACTCCGTCTCAAAAAAAAAAAAAAGAAAAAAGAAAGTAATTTCAGCATATTGCCACACATTTTAGGTTACTCTGAAACTGTCAAACCACAGAGTGGATTTGGGTTTCATCCGACACAGTGTAACATGGCTACAGTTAACTGTTGTCTTCCCGGGAGGACACTGCACATAAAATTCCCTCTCCCAATCCAGGCCACACTAGGTTCAGTACCCCAACCTAGTGTGTACAGGTTCAATGTACAGGTTCAGCCCTGTACATTGAGTATTGCTTGGGAACTGTTTATGACTTCTGCTAAGCCAATGTTCTGACTGGGCTGAAACTTCACTGTTAAAGGCAGGAGAAACACAGAGGGAATTATGCAAACAAAAAAGAGTTCATATGTAACTTTTAACTTATTCCTGCCAAATCTTGCTCTTGGATTTAAAAGCATATAGTTGTTCTGTCTGATAACTTACACTGCCAGGACAATCCTAGTGCCTCTTTATGTCAATGTTTCAAGAGACTTGCTTCTTTGTGTAAACCACAGGAAACCTGGAAATATGTCACACAGCTTTTTTGTGGCAAATACACTTTAAAAAAAAATCAATAGGTTTTTGGGGAACAGGTGGTGTTTGGTTACATGATTAAGTTATTTAGAGGTGATTTCTAAGATTTTGGTGCACCGGTCACCCGAGCAGTATACACTGTACCCAATGTGTAGTCTTTTATCCCTCACCCCCCTCCCACTCTGTACCCTGCATCTCCAAAGTCCATTGTATCACTCTTACGCCTTTGCGTCCTCATAGCTTAGCTCCCACTTATAAGTGAGAACATACGATGTTTGGTTTCTCCACTCCTGAGTTACTTCACTTAGAATAATAGTCTCCAATTCCATCCAGGTTGCTGTAAATGCCATTATTTCCTTTGTTTTTATGGCTGAGTAGTATTTTCTTTATCCACTTGTTGATTGATGGGCATTTGGGCTGGCTCCATATTTTTGCAATTGCAAATTGTGCTGCTATAAACATGAGTGTGCAAGTATCTTTTTCATATAATGACTTCTTTTCCTCTTGGTAGATTCCCAGGAGTGGAATTGCTGGATCAAATGGTAGTTCTAATTGTAATTCTTCAAGGAATCTCCACAATGTTTTTCATAGTGGTCATACTAGTTTATTACATTCCCACCAACAGTGTAAAAGTGTGCCTTTTTCACCACGTCTACACCAACATCTATTTTTTTTTAATTTTTTGATTACGGCCATTCTTGCAGGAGTAATGTGGTATCACATTGTGGTTTGGATTTGCATTTTCCTTATCATTAGTGATGTTGAGCTTTTTTCCATATGCTTGTTGGCCAGTTGTATCTTCTTTTGAGGATTGTCTATTCATATCCTTAGCCCACATTTGGATGGGATTGTTTGTTTTTTTCTGGCTGATTTGTTTGAGTTCTTTGTAGATTCTAGGTATTAGTCCTTTGTTGGATGCATAGACTGTGAAGATTTCCTCCCACTCTGAGGGTTGTCTGTTAACTCTGCTGATTATTTCTTTTGCTGTGCAGAAGCTTTTTAGTTTAATTAAGTCCCATCTATTTATCTTTGTTTTTGTTGCGTTTGCTTCTGGGTTCTTGGTCATGAAGTCTTTGCCTAAGCCAATGTCTAGAAGGGTTTCTCTGATGTTATCTTCTAGAATTTTTATGGTTTTAGGTCTTAGATTTAAGTCTTTGCTCCATCTTGAGTTGATTTTTGTATAAGGTGAGAGATCAGGCAAATCTGATATTTGACTTTAATTTAGATCAAATGTCTACACTTTGAAGACATTTTAATTTTACCAATAATCTTTAAAATTGTCTTTATTTCCAGATTACTAAAGTCATGCAAATAAAAGGCATTAAAGT